CAATGAGGAATGGCTAACCCCTTGTAACAAACCCGACCTCTGATAATCCATGGTTAAATAAGCCTAATATGAAATTAAGATGAAATCCTTTGGTAATTACATGTACATTACATTATTTGTGTTTATATTTGTTCTGTGTAGAAATATTTGTCTATGATTTTATTCTATTCTGTAAACTGAAGGCCTTATCGGCATCCAATCATGAAATTGGTTTGCTTTATGAGTTATTTAAGATTTTTAGAATTTAATGGTAGGTTTAATTAAAATTTGATTCAGAACGATTAAATTGGATTAATTAATGTCCTTTTGTTTAGCTATAATTAGCCACCACTAATGAAGCCTATATAAGGCTCTTTATATGCTCACACTCATTCCTTTTTCTTCATTTCAACCCACCTTTGAGCTGATTCACACAACAATCGTGGAAGAGGGAGAGAAAGGAGAAGATTGAGCTCAATTAAGGGATGTGCTAGGAAAAAGAAGAAATTAACTTAGAGGATCAAGAATTAAGTCTCTAACTCTTATCTTGGGAAGTCTAGGTAAGAATTCAACCCTTAGATTGCACTATAAGGATGCTTAACTCATGTATTCAAAAGAATTAAGTGAGTTGAGGCAAGAATTAAGCTTAATGAAGTAGAAGAGAAGAGTATAAATACATACATGTGCATTACATTGCATTTAGAGCATGTTGTCTAAGAATTTGTCCCATACATGTTCATATTTTGGTTTTAGTTTAAGAATTTACCATGTTTTTTAGTAGAACATCTTGTTTGATCATGATTTGGAGACTTGGAATCTCACTCATATCATGCGTGTCATGTTCATGTTATGATTTTTAGGAATTGGGTTTTGTTTTACACAATTGACAAGTTCTTAGGCTTTGGTTTTGCAAAATGATTTTGAATTCTCAATGTTTTCTAAGTTCACATTTGATTCCTCAAGTTTTTTGCCCAAAATGATGAGTTTTGAAGCATTTTATTTGAGTTTGGAAGCTTGGAGGTGAATATGGAAATTCCACAATTCGACTTCTCCGCTCGAGTGACAGATCCTACGCTCGAGTGACCACCTTTATTTTTGCACTTCCGCTCGAGTGACCAAAAGTCTGCTCTAGCGTGAAATGTAAGCTCCCAGAAGTTTCATGTTTTTGTAGACCACTCGAGCGACAAGAGTTGCGCTCGAGCGAGGACTTGAGTCTCACGCTCGAGCGAGCGTCGAGTGGGCATTGAGTGGAAAAATCAAGCAACTAGTACTTTTTCAAAGTTTACAGATAACTCAAGCGAAGGAAGTTGCGCTCGAGCGACCGCTCACATTTTTCATGTCTGCTCGAGTAAAGGAAGTTGCGCTCGAGCGGGACCTATTTCCAACATTTTTGACCAAGTGTTTTCAAATGTATTTTCGCATCCTCATTGCATCCTAGGCATTTCTAGGCCAAGTTTAAGACATAAAAATGAGGATAAGAAGTAGATACACACCAAGATAAGAAAGGATTAAGTTAATGTTCCTGGGTGTGTAATTCGGTATGTATTCGTTCTGTATCTATGTAGGTCACGCGCCGCAAGTTATCTGATCTACCTACTCTGTCTATTTGCTTTGGAGCATCTATGAGTAATAACTTAGTAAAGCTATGTTCAATTTATTTATTTTCTATATGATGTAATAAGATCAGTTTTTTGAACTGCTTTCTGGAATGCTATTTGTGAATCATGAATAAATGCCTATTTTTTTGAAATATATTGTCGCATCCATAGTTTACGTGGCCCTTACTCGGGGGTAACAATATCGAGGCTTATATTCACGTGGCCCTTACCCGGGGGTAACAATATCGAGGCTTATATTCACGTGGCCCTTGCCCGGGGGTAATAATATCGAGGCCTATATTCACGTGGCCCTTGCTCAAGGGTAATAATACCGAGGCCTATATTCATGCGGCCCTCGCCTAGGAATCTAATTCTGATTTGAACTTTGAATATGCATAAGACTATTTCTGATAAGAATCTGTTTTTGATATAAATTCTGATTTCTAACTCTGAAATAGACATTATTCATTAAACTCTTTACCCTGTTATTATTCATTGGGCTTCCGCTCACCCTATTATTTATATATGTAGGTGATCAAGCACGTGGCCAGGCTCAGTGATGATCACCTGCAGAGTTTTTGTCAGCCAGCCTTTGTGCCTCCCGAGGAGGTTCCATACGTCTTTGGTCATGTTATGTGAATGTAAAGGCTTGGTTTTCTTTGGGTTATGATATCTATTATGCATGTGACATGAGACTACTGCATTATGACATCACATATATGTCTACAAAGTTTAAAAAAAATTCGATCACATATACGTCTCCACAGCTCAATGGACTATGTATGTTTCTATATCTGCTTCCATAGCCCCTAATTATAAGATTTTCTGTTCAGAGGCCTTTGGTAATCCAAAGATTATTGGCCGGTTACGACGCTAAACCCATAGGGGCAAGTTTGGGTTGTGACACTCCTCCACTTTTGAAATCTCAAAGCATGATTTTTAGCCTCTTTTAAACTCTGAAAATCAATTTAGAAAGCAAAGAAAAGGGTGTAAAAACAAAGGTTTGAGCTTTAAGTGAAGGTCTAAAAAACAGTGTTAACTCTCTCTAGTGTTAACTTTCTCTACCCTTTGGTAGCTCTCCAAACCCAAGCTTAGACACTTGAAGGCAGATCAAAAAATACAAAACTACAAGAACTGGATAGTAAATGATAGAAATGAAAAAAAAAGAGAAAATAGTAAGCTTATACCTCTCAAGAAAGGCAAGCTCTTTGTTGTGAATCAAACTAAGTCCAAACACACTCTTAAGCTTGAATTATGATGCTTAAGGCTCAACCAAGGTTCCTAGGCTAAGGTGTGAAGGTGTGTATGGTGTATGGATATAGGTTTAAGTTGGTAAGCTTGCTCAAAGGTTGCTTACACAAGAAGAAGGAGCTCTCAAGAAGGTGTATAAGCTTTTTAGATGGTGTATAAACTTTTTAGAAATTCTTCAACCCTCAAAATAGAGATACAACTTTGTTTTTATAGAATTTGAGCAAGAGGGGTCATAAATATCTTCAAAAATGGACAGCTGGCGGGCTCCCGCCCAAAACAATGTTTCTCACTACTAAGGCACGGCCAGCCATCAATAGCCACGGCCGGCTCTCAATGAGGCATGGCTAAGCCTCAATGTAATCCCCTATTTTTCTACTTCAGACTCAACATAGGGTGGTACAATGTGTAAAAATGAATTTTTGGGTTATAAACAGTGAGAATATGGAAGGTTTGGGATTATTTCAGAGCTTATACATAGCCCCTTCGTTGAGACCTCGAACCACGCACAACACCACTCTCATCATCGAGTGTACCGGGCAAAGCGCTCAAGCCTTGCGGGCAGTCAAATATGGGGTGTCTACCTCTACGCTCGAGCGGTGTTTCCTACGCTCGAGCGGGTGGGTGCTCAAACGTCCAATCTTGCTCTCTAGCGATGTCCTTCATCTGCAAAACTTCTGAAAGTGTGTATTGGATGCTCAAGCTTCACTTCTTACGCTCGAGAGGAACAATGTGTCTAATGCTCGAGCGTCACTTTTCACGCTCGAACGGACTGCATGTATAACAGATCGCGAAGATGACTTTTTTCATCACTTTTTCACTCCTTTCTCTCTAACACTTTCCAAAAACCTAGATCTTGAGTTTCTCTCTCTAAAACTCATATTCTCTCTACTATTTCACCTAGATCCATTGAGATCTTCACCCTAGTGCCTGTGAGAAAAAGGTAGAGCACATCAAGAGCTCCGTTTTGATCTGAATAGAAGTTGGTTTCGACGTCTTTGAAGTTTCTCCTTTGTTGTTTGGTCTTCTAAACTTTGAGGTAGGGATTTTCTACACTTTCTTATGGTCTTTAGCTTAGTTATTTGCCGTTGTGTAACAATGGTGGGATTTGGGAGTGGTTTGAACAAACTTAAGGTTTGGGTGTGAAATAAAAAGAGGGGTTTTGGTCAATGGAAAATAAGTGGTTATGGAGTTTTAAAATGAGGTTGTATTGTGTCAAAATGGTTGATTTTGGTACTTGGGTTGATATTTGGAAAAAGGTGAAGTTTTGCCCTAAATGGGTCAAATTGTTATTTTGTATAATTAACGAAAATTGACATTGGTAATGTGAAATTAAAGGATTATTGATATAAAGGGTGGAGTTGGACACGTGTTGTCTCTAACCTATGGAAACTTGATTAATTTATATATTGAGAAGATTATGTATCTGTGTTGGGCTATCGGTAGAGGATAACTATGATTGTTGTAGAAATTGCATGAGAATTAGGTAAATTGAAACTAATCTATTGTTGGTTGTCATTGAATATGACTATGTTTAGATACAGTGTATATGTGTGATGTTTGGGAGGGGAAATGGGATGTACTCCATTGTTTGGGAGGAGATAGGGGATGGACTCTATTGAAATTAAGTTGGCCGGAGTGTTCAGGGTGAAAGTCCTGAAATCTTGTGTATACATGGGTGCCGAATCCCATGGACGAAATTTTTGTAAAATGGCAGATTGAAGTGTTTGTGTGGTATTGTATTAACTTAGAAAACCACTGAGCTATAGTCTCAGTTGGATTGTTAAAAGATAATGGAATTGGCTCATGAATTGAAAAGGATAAATTAACTTGAAATGAATTGAAACACGAACATTGGTACTTTACGATCTTATAAAAATGTGAATGTTTTGTCACAAGCATTGTGTATGCACATTGTACTTATATCTCTGCCAAATCTCATGTACTGTGTTAGATTATTCTTATTGGGCTTTGACTCACCCTATTTGGGAAAATCTTTTTCAGGTGCTGGTGACATGCCTCCGCTAAGGCAATAGCTTGGAGGGGCTTTTGGGAAGCAAGAGCTTCTTTATTTTGTTTTTATTCTTTTGTATAGCCAAGGGCTTTAATTGTATTGAGTTAGGCTCACTTTTGTGTAACCAAACAATGACTTGGAAAGATGTAAGCCTGTAGGGCATCTGACTATATGTTTTGTTTTTTTTCCGTCAACATTGTAACACATGCTGTAGATTCAGGATGAACATTTGTGAATGTATAATGCATGTGTTAACTTTTGTAAACGAACTCTGATGAATGAAAGTGTATCATTTCTGTTATTCTTCTGCTTTAAGGATTTGATTTACTGTAATAATTTGGGGGCGTTACAACCAAAACTTTAGAGGAGTTAAAGGGTTGAATTTGATGTTATATGTTTCTTCTTTGAGATTTTGTAAATTTTTCTCAGGGTTTACAATAGGACATAGTCAATTGTTTTGTTTGTTTATTTATTAAATTATTATAGTCATGAATTAATGTGATTTTGGTGCTTGCTCTGCTGCTGTGAGCTTTTGGTGCTTCCTGTTGATTGTGTTCTGTGAGTTGATCAAGATTAGGACTGCTTTGGATCAATTGATCAAATGGATGTTGATGACCCTGGTAATCCAGAAAAGAACTCTGGATCTGTTCCATATTCTAAGAATGTTGTTAGAACTTTTAACTTAGAGAAATCCAAGGTAAAAAACAAACTTTATGTAGGATCTCAAGCCTTGGGATTCCGCCGGGATCATATGGAGGTTAGTTTGTTGATTACATTAATGAGGAATTGTGGGACATTGTTTCATTACTTCTAAGTTTTATGGTTTTGATCATATGTTCTCCTATCTATGTTCTCCTATCTCATCAGGTGCTGTCACCCATAAAAGATGGAGTTGTGGTTGACTGGGATATAGTTGATAGCATCTGGGACCATGTCTTCAGGTAAGTAGTAATCTAAATTATCTTCTTATTAGTATACTAGTGCTTATCTTGTTCTCTTTTCAATTTTTTGATGCTCTAATGGAAGTTTGGCATGCTCAACCTGCAACCTGCCTAGATACTTTCTGCAGTAGATGGCTTAACTTTGTCTAGAACCAATGAGTTGTGATCTTCTTTCTCTATCGTATCCTATCTGACCAACTCATTGTACTTGTCTTTGGCACCTGTCAAAAACCTCTTGTATGAGAGTGACATAGCATAGCCTTTTCAGTTCCTTTCAACCACCAACATTTGAATGTCTCTGTGGGAAATATTTCTTCTTGATTAGTTGTCCTTTTGATCTGTTTGGTTAGATGGGACTGGAGGGGAAAGTAAAAATAATTATTTTTTTTGGAAACACTTTAAAAAAGATGCATAAAGAGAGCAGTGGTGTCCTTGTACTCTTTGGGAATGTGCAACTTCCACACTATTCAAATGCCAATAACCACATCATAGAGAAGTTAATACTTCATTCGGTATTCTCATTTTGCAGCGGGAGATATGCTTGAGGGAAGAAGAAACAAATTTCTTTTGGTCAGTGGTTATGCCGTGATGTGGTTTTATTCTTATTTTCTTCTATTTCATATTTCTTTTTTAGTCTTTTTTCTTCATGTTTCAACTGCAACAGTAGTCATAAAGGAGTTAATGTAGTAAAGTAAACTTTCATAAATCAGACCTGTTATGGGGGATGATTTAACAACGATTGTATGTCTGTTGTGCATGGATATGTTAGAGCAATTGCATTTTGTGGTTTTCAGTTCTGCTATTCATCTTCATTTTTTCAATAAAAAGACGTGGTCAATGTTATGGCCATTTGTTTGTATAAGCTCAGAAGCTTTGACATACATCATATTTGAGTGTCTTTTTTTTCTTTCATTAAGCTTTCTACTTCTTTAAAAATTTGTTGATTATATCAGTTTTCTAGTTTCAAAATTTTAGATATATTTCCACACAGAATAGAACAATGTATCTTGTGATTCCGGAAAGCTTGAATAAATCTTGGTTTATATTAGCTAGAAACCTCTTGTTAGTTGTCTCTTTCTTTTCTTTTTCTGGTGCCCTTTCTACTGCCCTTTTATCTTGTTGTGTTTGAAGTATTTCTATGAATTTCCTACTCATTATAATTGGCCTTTGTTAATTTTAGGGAATGTCTACTGGTTGATCCCAAAGAACATCCAATGCTACTAGCTGAACCATCTTCAAACAGTCAGCAACAAAGAGAAAAATGAGCTTGCAGTGAGAGCCCTTTCATTGGTTTGATGCTATATATCTGATCCCCATCTTTTTTTTTTTCAAAAAATTGAACTTTGTTTTAAAGATAATCTTAGTTCTCGGATGATAATTATGATACAACTGTTAAACAATCAAAATGATAAATAATAAAATGATACAACTATCCTTGACATTGCTCATCAAATGACTTCGAGATCATGATGAATTTAAAGGCTCGAATTTTGGTTTGAACGTGTTTTTTCATTTTTAAAATCGATGTAAAGTATTATAATCTACCAATGATCTAAAGAGTTTCTTGCCTTGTAGAGCGCTTACTTTTTTTCCATGCATTTACTTGAATCTAATTACTTGTTTTCTCTAGAAGATATATGAATTGCCTAACTTAAGTCAACTCATCCTGATTTTAATATTATAGTATGAAGCGTATGGCTTTATCTTTAGTAATGAAAATTGTTACATGTTGGACAGGACAGCAGAGCTTATGTTTGAAAAATACAAAGTTCCTGCCCTATTTTTGGCCAAGAATGCTGTATGCTCCTCATTCTACCCTTAAAATTGATACTCAATGCAAATTGAAAATTGGTATTTCATTACTTGTTTCTCTCTCTCTCTCTCTCTGTGAGATAGTGCAGTCTTTAATTTGTTGTAATAACTTAATATTGACAATGGCAGGTTCTCACATCTTTTGCATCTGGACGGGCTACCTTTTTGGTTGTTGACAGGTTTTTCGATTTAGACTTGGTTCATTACTTGTGTAGCTTTTGTTTTCAGGGCAAGTGGTTGTTGAGCAATGTTCTTTTGTTCTTTTCAATTATTTAGCCATTATGGACTGAACAACAACAACAAATAGTGCCCTAAACCTAGTTGAATGTGCCAAATCACTTTATAGGGGGAAACAAAATTGTTTATGTAATTAATACTCTATGTAACTGTGAGTTCTGAATCTGCTTTTGCAGTTCTGAGATTTATTTCTTTTTTCCTAATATTGATTGGTTGCTGAAATTGACACTAATCAGTTGTATTTCCATGACTACTAACTGATTCAGTGGTGGTGGCTCAACTACCATCGCCCCTGCACATGATGGTTATGTTCTCCAAAAGGTATTCCTCGTGAACAAGTGAAAAGATGACATTGTGTTTATCTTGTTAAATTTTTTATTATGTTCCAAACTTAATTCTACATCTTAAAAGTCAAACTCATATTTTCTAAAAGTTTCTAATCAGTTCATATGTCAGCTATCTGTTATCTTCATCACTGCGTGGATACCTGTATAAGTCATCACACATTATAAAACATATTTCATAGTTATTTTTGTTTTTTGGCACCATTGATTCAGGTGGAAATTTGAATTATTATTGAATTTGTGATCTGTAATTTACTTTGTTAATGTGGAGAGTTTTGAGAAGGGATGCATGTCATTGTCATGATATCACTATTTAAATATGTGTTCATTAAAGGCACCTAAAAGTGTGCAACCTATGTATACCAAGTGCACCAATCTAAAGTCAATAAAACTAGGATTAACTCTTTTTTTGTTTTTTTTTTTTATCGGCAATAAACTAATGTTAACTACAAAATGTACTAAAGAAAAAGAATATTTTCAAGACTTGTAACCGAACATTTGCAGTAATGAGGTCTTCAAACAAGAATAACACACATTTGTTGGAAAAGGATACACAGCTTTTGAAGAACATTTACGCTGTGTTTGGTTGGAGGATTTGAGGAGAGATTTAGAAAGGAAAAGGGAAAGGGAAAAATTAGGTGAAATATGAATAAAATATACCTACATTTCACCTAGTTTCACACACCTTTTCTCTTTTTCATTAAGCTTTCTACCTCTTTAAAAATTT